CAACACAGCGATGCCTTTCTTGGGCTTCCCTCGCTCATCCCCAGGGTTTCGGGAAGGGATGTATTTGTCTGCCTTTGAACATACAGCAGTGTTGCAATATTTGAGAAGCAAAGGCTTCTCTTCCGGGTTAAAATACTCACGCAAAAAAGGCTATCCCCTTTTCAAGGTTCCAAAAAGTAATGTTCAACGTTGAGTCGGAGGAATTTGAAATTATTGAGGCAGTATCAGATGGTGAGTATCCACAGAAGCACTGAGCAGTAATGTTCTGCTGAACAGATCACTGGTAAATAGTAACAGATATTGAAGATGTAGAAGATGATTGGGGGTTTATATCTGACAACCAATCCTGTCACTCATCTGGTACGTATTTTATCAAGTCTTGGAGGGAACATTTCAAAAATTATCCACCCATTCACAGATGATTTTGAGGGACATTTTAACATTGGTGACTGCACCCAAAATCACAAGCTCATCAACCAGACACTAAGGCAAACTAGATCATTGTCCTCGTTTAATCCAAACGAGGGTGTTCATGACCCTCTAGAGAGCAGTGATTGCACCCAAAATCACAAGCTCACCAACCAAAAACTCAGGCGGACTAGATCATTGTCCTCGTTTAATCCAAACGAGGGTACTCATGAGCCTATAGAGAACAGGCTATTGAATTTGGAAAGCATATTTTGGTGTCAATATTGTATTGATTCCGAAACTCTTCATCCGGCAGTTCGGAAACCGTGCATGCGCAAGGAACATCATATTGCACAAGCTATACGGTGGAATGGTTATATCCCAAGGGAACATATGGATTTTTGCTTGGATCTCATTAACTACTAGTATTTTGTACTTATGCTTACTATAAGTACTTTGTACTGTAATAGCTGTATCAACCCCCCATTTATCCCATTGGCTCTAGTGCTACCACTGGCAACACCCCTAGCCAACGCCAGCTGCAACTTGATTTCAGAGTCGAGTTTGGACTTGTGTTGATCATTGTTCCTCGGACGAAATTCTGCTTCAAGTTGGTCACTTGACAGCACTTTTGTACTAGGCCGAACGTATGAAGGCAAAAGTATTGACGGTGCGAGGTTTGAAAGAAAGAGAAGAAAGCACTTCTCTGTATATTAGCATTGTGGTGTACGTACGTAGTATTTAACAGTAACAGCAAATAAGGCAACTGAAGGAACGAAACAAGTACTTTAAAAGAAAGTGGAGTCACATAGTCAATCGGTGACCAAATTAGTAGGTATATAAGAAACGGTCATTGAGACCGGAATAACACAGCTACAAGCCCTCGACTCCTTCATCATACAAAGCATCCTTGTCTGAATCCAGCTTCCCGAATCTCATCGACACAGCCCACCTCCCTGCCACCTCGTCCAGCGTTTCACCAAATGATAATATTAACCAAGACAATCACCAAATGTATGGAATAAGCCGGTAAAGGACGTTCTTCTTGTATTCAAGGTACGATCGACCCATACGAGGGTTTTCTTCCATTAGCTGCTCCTATAAAGATGAAAAGGCAGGTAAGCTTGATATGCATATGAAAAGGCGACAATGCTACATACTTCGACCAAAATCTTGTATCCAAACGAAGCCACAAAGACTACCAAGCCAACCAGTGGCGACCAAGACCAATAGGCGATGGCCGAGAACAAAGCTTGAAAGAGAGCCATGGAGTAGATGGGATGTCTAGAAAGAAATTCGTATCATTATTATCGCTTTTAACATGAGAATGATGTCTTACCTGACGATAGAGTAGAGGCCTGTAGACACGACTTCACCGTTCTCCCGGGGCTAAATCAACGAATCGTTAATTGGAAAGGAATACAAGCACAAAGACATAACATACCCCGATATAATGCAACTGCTTCCCCAACACATCCACAATCGCTTGATGTATCCAGATAGTACTCAACATACACAACGACGCCACTACCCTAGTCCACAGTTTCGCTTTTGTATCCATCGCAAACAGATCGTCTAGGCTAGTACGTCGATACCACTCTGGCTGACGCATTCCATTGGATAATACGGCAGCGAGATACGGGAGGGGCAAAGCAATAGTTGCGATGGCATGGATAGGCGTAACGATTCGTCCGAGCAAGGATGTTGGCAAAGCGGTGATTTTTCCTCCTTCCTTGTCGGCTTTGACTAACCATTTGCGTTGCTGAGAGACTAAGATATATAGATGAAAGGAGAATAAGTGAGTATGGATCCGGACTGATGCCAATAAGTACATACCGATAGACAGAAACGTTGCTACGGTGGTCGCAGCGACCAAGGTTTCTACGCGCTGCGAAGGAGAGATGTGGATTCCAGCAAAATAGTCCATCTGCAAGAAATGGGATTCTAGTGATTAGAGCCTTGAAGCTACGCGAATCTTATAAGTAGAGCGCTCATCGGGAGCGGGACGGAAATTGATATCGACAAGTCACTGTCTTCTTGTAATCGCGAAAGGATAGTAGGATTCTCGGAAGCAAAACGGATATCTATCACGCGCCCACGCCGACTATGTATTCACCAAATATATGGAATAATCTTGCAGGTCACTTTCTTCTTGTAATCGCGATAGGCAGGGCCTATAGCAGGATCCTGTTCAATCAACTCTTCCTTTAACACAAGTCAGCCAGAACACTAACGCAGGTCAAAAGTTCGGCTTACCTCAATAGGCATCTTATAAGCGAATGCACCAGCGCAAATTCCAAGACTGACGAGAGGAATCCAAGACCAATACGCAACTGATAGAAGAGCAAGTTGGCCTAGGAAAGTGGTGTACATCGGGTGACGAACGACCGCGTAGGGACCCGTAGACACGACATTTGCCTTTTCCCTAACCTTTACACACAAAGATAACAGTCAGTGTTCGGTGGACATGATACATTTAACGCAGAACATACCCCGATATAATGAAACTGCTTTCCCAACTCTCTCAAGACAATCCCATGGCACCAAATTGTTCCCAAGGTGCCTACAGCGGCAGCCGTACGAATCCAAGCCAAAGGTCCAATCCCAACGTTCATGTCCAAAACATTTTCCAGCGAGGTCTGAGCGTACCATTCTGGCTGTTCCATCTGATTCAAGAAGACGGCAGCCAGATACGATACTGGAACTGCCATAATCGCGCATACGTGTATGGGAGTAACCAATCGGCCTATCAGCGTCGTAGGTCCAGTCGTAATTTTTCCGCCTTCGTTTTCAGATTTGGAGAACCATTTGCGTTGGTTTCTGGCTAAAAAATCGGTGAATTATTCAGCAAAAAAAACGGAATGAAGAGAGCTCACCGAGGCTAGCTATCGTTATAATAGTAGATCCTGCAACTATAGCTTCGATGCCTTGGTTATGAGAGAGATGAATGCCTGCTAGATAATTCATCTTGCAGATTACGTGGCGGTTCAAGTCTAGACGCTTTATGTGTGTCTTTATTTATACTTTAGCATCCGTGGTTCTGGTTTGAAGAAATCTGGTCTCGCCTGAGCGCGATCTTCGGGTTTGTACGAAATCAAGTGGTCCGCGTCAAAGTAAACTCTGTGAGACACAATAAAAACAACATCTAAATCATTCAGAATAGCCCAAGCCGAGGGTCGAACTCGCAGCCTTCAGACCGCCGTAACCAGAGTCTGACGCTCTATCCGATTGAGCTAGGCGGACCTATTGCAAGAGGGATTCGGCATTGAAACGGCAATCGTATAAGCTCACAACGTGACCTGTCAGGTGAAATAAGCGCCGCAAATGCTAAAGAATGCAGGAGAGTAACAGAAAAGGCTTGAATTTGGTGCCAGCTCAATCCATGGTGTAGCCCAAGGTCAGGAGAACCAAAGAAAGTTGACTTGTTCTCTAATTGCGGTGGAAATCTGGAAGGATGTTGCGGAATGCTAGTAGCGTTCAGAGCGCCAATCAAAGTCCCACGGAGGGTCTTTCCTAACTAGGCAAGATAGGTCATATGTCTGCCATTTCAATGCCGAATCCCCCTTGACCTATTGCCAAGAGGAAACGAAGATTCCGATCGCTAAGATAGTCTCACGGTAGGGGTACCAAAAAGGAACAATGCAAGCTGGCTGCCTTCATTGACAAGGAACTCCTTGAATTATTGCTGTTTTCAAAAAGGCTTGCGCGCGTCAAATTTTCACGTGGGAATGATATATGTTCGATTTTGCGCGTTCGACAACACCCGAACTGCATCAGCAAAACTGCACATGCGTGATCCGTATGAAGGCACGCCAAATACGTCCGATCATACGGATTTGGCTGCATATGTATAGGGCCCTGAGTGCATATCCATCATGCCCGATTATACACAATTATAGCCCTTTTTCTTGTTTGTTTATATCCTCAAACACGCTCAATTATACCGCAACTTTATACATTCAATATACCAGCTCTTTTGGCCTAATTATACTTTCATATACTTTCACTTTAATGAAGCAATCAAATTGACAGTTTATTGGTCTACAGCAATGACATAGTAAAAAAAAAAGTTATGTACAAAGACTACGAAGTTGGCATTGTCCCGCAAGGCTTCCAATGCCTTATACCACCCAACGGAATGAATAAATCATGCACCAGAAATTCTGTGGAAACATATCCGAGTCAGGTTGAGCTTGCAAGGGACAGACAGTGATAAATATTCATGCGAGCATTTCCAGGGCACCCAAAGTATGGCGGCATGACTTGAAAATCCTCATGCAATGGTCAAGAAACATAGGCAGAAGACTTCACTTCAAATGCCAGATTGTTCAGAGAAACTGACATCGCATTCCTGGCAGTCTGGCGCTTCGGTGGCTCGCTGGTTTCAAAACCTAATGATATCATGTTAGAGCAGAGAGCTTCAAGAAAAAAAAAGTACACACTGCCACAGTGAGACTGCTGCAAGGAAAAATTAGAGCCAGCGAGGAAGGACTCGAGGAGAGAGCCAACGGGGACCAGTGCCAGCGGTCAAGGTTCCAGCTTCACATCTTCCATAGGCTTTACATTGCAAAGGCATTAGAAGGAATTCTCCACCAAATAACACTGTGCAAAATAAAAAGGGTATAAGCTGCAGATACTCACAGTAAATGAATTCACATACCTGGCAAAACATTGGAACAACTCTGCAGTGATATTTATAATAAATGTAAATCTTGGAGGAGACATAAAGAAGAAGGATGTATGCACATTAGGCTATTCCTATCCATGCCTTCTTGAATTTTTCACCAAATAGAACGGACTTCGATGAAATTAGTCTAACAACATATCATTGTAGAGCAAGTGCATAAGAGTGTGCAAAGAAAGGAAGTGAAGAAGTGCTGACTTCCTAAATTTGATTGAACGCAATTCATGTGAGACTGCATAGTAGCTAGCTTGTGACTTGTCAGAGTTTCAAATGACTTGGGGATTCTCTTTTTTCATTGCTCTCTAAACATCTCCGAGTCCGCGATGCACCAATGTACTACATATTGTACAATATTCTTATCTTTCATGTTGAAGCCAAACATGGGGTATACTGCAATTGAATAGTGATTGACTTGTACTAGTGTCAACTTATTTACTGTACTAATATGATCATAGGTATTGTTGTATAAACAATGCATAAACCTGGTATAAATTGCATATAACAATTATACAGCCAAAGGAATTCCGCTGGGCCGTGATCGCGTATGATTGTGCATATCAATTACATCAATCTACCAATCATACGGAATACGATCCGGTGGTTTTGCTGATGTCTTTTCGGTTGTAACTCATGCAGTTCTCAATCGAAACATGAAAAGTTTTATATTTTCTGGATCTATGACATATTCTGCAGACACGGCATAAGAAATCTGGGCTTCCTGGTGATTACAATATGTAGTTCTTGCATTTGACAGTGTTGCAACTGTTTTCGGCTGAAGCTCTCTCAATTCAGCACCAGGAATGAGAATGTTTTTACTTTCTGACTCTACTACATATTCTTCAGGTGCACCACAAAAAATTGTGCTGAAATCATCCAGAAGAAATGGTTTTGTCAATGCTTGAAGTTTCCAACCAATATCCGGGCAGTCCTCTTTGAGCAAGACTTTCTTGTACATGTTGAAAACACTGCGAATCAGGACTAGGTCATTGGAGTTGTGTTTGGATGGATCTAAGGGGAGCTAGGTCCAATCATCATCATTGGCTGGGTCTGGGCAGAAGTCAATAATTGATACAAAAGTTGTCACTGGAATTATTGGATTTGGACCTAGGGAGCCAGGTCAACTGAAAACCAAATCAAGTTAGGTTTTAGTCCAGGGCATAAAGACCTGCAGAACATACCACTATCCGATCCTGCTCATTTGACCCAAATTCAACTACTTCGAGGTTCAAAATCCCAGCCTCAGCACAGCTAATTTCCCAGTTTCAGCCATTCTAATGCCTTTCTGCAATCCTATATACAATCCCAAGGCCACGATATTCTTCTTTTCAGTGGTGGAGATGACAGATGAGCTAAAACTTGGCTAAAACCAGGCAAGAGCTGTGATTGATCTCATGTATGAACAGCACACAATATTCTTCTACTTTCATAGCCTTGTATCTGCAGAATAAGCTGTAGATTCAGAAAAAAAAAGAGCTTTTTGCAATTGAAGAAGAATTGAGTGAGCTATGAATGAAAACAGTTGGAATGTTGCTGAATGCACAAAAATCAAACATATATCATTCCCACATGAAAATTGACATGTGCAAGCCTTTTTGAAAACAGCAATAACTCGAAGCTACAAAAAACAGTTCATTTGGAACCACAGGCCCAAGAAGGACGCTGGATAGGACTCAAACCCAAATTGAATGGTCACTACATCCACTGGCCAACACATCACACTGTCACAACCAAGAGGAACATTGTTTTCTCTGACAGGCAGATCTAACCCATTGAAGGGGAGGATGGAAATTTGGGAAACTTGGTAACATTGGTCGCTGAGTTAGAACAGCCTGTCATACCAGATCCAGAAGAAATTGCCAAACCAATTTCACCAGATGAAATAACTGGCAAACAAGTCAGACAACCCACCAAGAAGATTAGGGGCATTATTGAAGGACTTGGAGAAGGAAGTGATGAGTTGCAACATCTCACTGCATCTCTAGGTCAGGTAACATCAGAAATCTCTGATCCTTTATCTGTTGCAGAAGCTATGCAATGACCTGACAGTTCCAAATGGTACAATGCCATGAAGGACAAAATCTCCAGACTCCAGGAGTGTGGAACCTACACAATTGTCACTCCATCTCCAGATGCCAATATTCTCACATCCAAATGGGTCTATTGGACCAAGAAGGATGAACAAGGTCACATTACAGGACACCAAGCTTGTCTTGTTGTACGTGGGTTTAATCAGATCCCAGATGTTAATTACTTCCCAGATGAAACCTTTGCATCTGTGTGAGACCCAGTGCATGAAATGGATCTTGAACCAATGTATCCCAAATGTCTCACACCTAGATGTAAGTGGAGACCAAACGTGACCACCCAGGGTAACCATGTCATAAGGTGGGTCTGGACAGTAGTACAAGTGTTGTACAAAACAGCACAAGCCTTGGAGGTGTAAGTAGCAGTGTATGGGCCACCTAATGACATAATCAGGATGAATTGGGTGGTATTGTGGTCCAACAACCAGAAGTGAGTGGAAGCGGATGGAATATGGATGAAGGGGTGGTCCAAAAGGTGTAATATGTCCAAATATGGATAATGCAGGTGGAGTACAGTGAATGCGGATGGAAATAGGGTGGAAGCGGGTGGAATAGGGTGGGAGCGGACAGAAATAGGGTGGGAGTGGATGGAATACAGTGAAAGCGGATGGTGCCGGAGGTTCTAGAGGTAGCAAAACCCAAATAGGAAGCTCCCGGGGAGCTTTGGTTGTAAAGTCATAAACTGAGATAGAAGACATTGAGCTCTGGACGTAGATTTGAGATCTACAGACAGAGCCTTGCAGTCAATGCAGATGACAGTAAGCCTTTGAACAGAGCTTGGAAGGCACAACTGGTTGGAACAGACAACACTAGGGTTTCTAGATACAATTCAATTCAATTTATTTGACCTAAATCCAATAAACTGTGAATTGCACTGATACATAAGAAATATGAACTGACATAAACCATGTACTTGTATCAGTACAATTAGTGAATTGATGCAATTTATTGTAATACATCTGATTTATATTAATTCAAGTTTAAACTGATATAGACTAGTTTAAACCAATTTACACCATACCAAATTGCAGGAAACTATAAAAAGATACTACATAGTAGCAAGTAAAGTCCATACTCCCAATGTTGGAATATCAAAGGTAAATTTAGTATTGATCTGTAAATGGAATGCTTTCTCGTAGTCTCCACTTGTTTGTATCATCATCCCATGCACTCCACATCTATTGTCTTGCAGACTCCACTCAGTCTCTTGCCATATCCACTTACTATCTTGCAGTACCCACTTTACCATGTGGACAGTAGCCACAGACATTCATGCAGTAGCCACTAGCCTGATATATCATTTGTACACAGGACTGTATATAAGCCTAGGTACTGTATGTCAGAACATGAGCCTTTGATACTTACTTTTCCTTTCCTAGCAATCCTTTTCCCTTATACGTACTTACATACCGTCCCGATCCATTACCACCTTCCGTCATCCCACGCCTTCAGGCCACATATATCAATTATCTCGC